TAACTTATATTAATTAAAGAATAAAATAAAAAGTAATTTGGTATATTTTATATTTTCTTTGCCCTAATTTATACGTGGTCTTCGAATTTGGAAAGACAAACAAATTACTATTTAACAATAATTTTTCATGTTTTTAAAACATTTTAAATTAATTATTACATAATTTTTAAATATATAATTTTATTTTAAAAATTTAAAGATTTTATATTCAAATGTACAGTTAAAATTAAATTATTTGAATCTTAAATGTAGAAAATATCATACAAATTAAAATAAAAAAAGTACTTTATATAGTTAACTTAAAATAGTTAAATTCAAAAATTCTTTATACTTTCTTATATTTCGTATCTAATTAAATTACTGCACTAGATTAAAACAGAGGGAATATAATTTAAGCACAATAACTGAAAAGTCTTGACAAGTAGCCACATGAAGGAAGAACAACAATAAAACAACCAATATAATCTCGTAAATACAATTGTTCAAGTTTAAAAAGGAAAAAAAAAAGAGTTTAAAAAGGATGAGTAATACACACTTTTAATTTTCAGTTAATAAAAATATTGAAATTATTTTCGATAGATCATAAAACATAACCATCAATATCATCTGACTCATAGTTCAACAACGTGAATTTCCCTGTTTGGGTAAACATCATCGTTGTTTCAGGAGAAAACAATATCTAATTATTAGATTCTGATAATATTAACCAATCAAATTATTAATATTTTCAAATTTCAATCATGACAACGACACTTCATTTTAAGTAGAGCACATTTTATAGCAAAACCAGTGTTATAAATAAAGTAAAGACGAAAACGAAATGATATAAACTAATTCATTTAATTTGTTTTGTTCTTGTCTGTACCATTTTATATATATTCTGGAAGATTATTGACAAAATGTTATTTGACGAATTCCGAATAATTTACTAAATATGGGAAAACCACTGTTGTTCAACAAATTAAATATATGCGTTCACCTCATAGGTGATCGTACCCTGAATAGACTTCTAATGCACCTCTTAATACAAATAAAGTTATAATTCGAAAATGTTTATTTAGAGATACAAAGTGAAATCCAAATTAAATGGCTAGCCTGAAATAATCGCGGAGAACTAATAGGCATCTAATCTTAGGATATGAAATATTCAGTTTCAAATTTTGATTTGAAATGAACGTTTTCTTTTTAAAAAAATAAAATAAAATATGCACAAATTCTTAATTTAAATTTCAATTTCTCCATAAAATATTATATATATGTATATGTGTGTATTTAAAAGTTTGTAATAGCACATAACTGCAAATACTTATTTATTTATTTTTATAAAAGGAACATGGAGATATGTGATTTATTAATGTGGTGTGGTGTCTTAAATATTCCAACACCTTATGAATCATGATTTGCTCATGTGGTATTGTATAAGATAGGGAGAATTTTGATAATTTTCATAAATTATGAAGGGAAAGTACAATTAAGTTCAAAACTTCAAATTACACGTCCAAACAAATTCCAACCCAAAGAATATTTGACCAAGTTAATAACCAACTCATTTTAACCCACCCAAATTCAGTTGAACTACCCATTTGATATCCCTAATCTTCTTCTCACTCCTAATCTTCTTCTCACTCTACCGGGAAAAAAAGTTGCTGTTGACTTGCCATATTCATAGAGGAGATTTCACAATCTGTCCAAGATTTGTCGTGCTGTATATGGCATTATTATATTGGTACAATTAATGGTATTCCTTCTGATTTTCCTTTGTATCAGTTATAAAAAATATATATAGATAGAAATATAGATAATGAATTTGTCAAATCTATTCTCTTTTACAGATCTAAAGATTAAGTTCGGAGAATTTAACTACTGTTTTGTAATGTTATTATAACTTATAAAAAAATGCATTAGCTTTTACTTAAGCCATTTTAATTTTACATTTTCCGATAATTGAAGACATTTTATTACCAGTAAAACGTCAGCTTCACTTGGTCTAAGGGTAAGTGTTCAACAGACACCAAACAAGTCCTCATCATGTTTAATTAACACTTGATTATTTTTTTAAAACAACAATTAACACTTGATTTGAGGATAATATATTTGGATCTCGTCAAACATAGTTGTTGTCCAATTATAGAAAATTTTGCAAACATGACTAGCTTCTTGAAGGAGAGGTATAACATAATTGGACAACAACTAGAACAAATAAGTATTAAAATAAAGAAATAGTTGATGTTTTATTATTCTAATATTATTTTCACAAATAGAGACTACAACATGGAGAGTCATAGTGATGATTATTGGATCCAATCTGTCAAAGATCCAGAAAAACTTATTTTTTCCTAAATTAAGGTGCAATTGGGAGTAATGTTTGTTTTTTAAAAGCTTTTTACCAAAAAAGAAAATAGTTTTATGTCATTTTTACATATAAAGAAATACGATTTTTTTTTTTTTATTTAAACGATAACTAGGTGGGCAAGAGATCTCATTTTCTTCAACATATTTTGCTGAAATGAAGAATTTATTCTCCATTTCTCTGGCCTAACATAAGGTGCATGACAAACTGTGCAGAACATGGGACAATGTCAAGGCTCTTAATTGTTTTTATCAACTTAACAAATAAAAAAACAGATAATGCAAGATTATTGGAAGTGGGTTCCAGGAAATTATATTATTTAATTCAGTAATTGATTGGTTTGTATGCACGACCACATTTTATTTGGCGTGCGGAGATTTAATTAAACCTAATTTCACCTTCTTCATTATTCATTAATGTCCAATTATATAAAAAAAATCTTCCTGATCTGGCCAAAATTAAACAAATGAAATAAATTGCAATGCAATGAGAAAAATATTATTTTAGCTGAGTCCCTGGACCTTGTTTGTCTGGCAATGTAGTCTAAAATATTAGTTGAACAACTTATATTTATTGCAGTAGTTAAAATAAAATAATTAAAATACTTGTTAAAAATTATTCTATAGAGAAAACATTACATGTCATAGTTAAAATGAATCAAAATTTTGTAAAAATGAAACAAAATAAAATTGAGTTTCCAATTTAAGTAGATTTCTCTTCTGCCAAGATCCATTCTTTTTTCTTTTTTCTTCATATAGTTAATCATTGGGCCTTTAAGAATTTTAGTAGTATGGACGTGTAAGAAGATAATCTTGTTTTGGGCCTATCTCATTCATCTTTCCAAGATCCAAATCTTTTGAAAATTGCAATTTGACAACCCCTACATTTACTCTCTCCGTCCCATATTAGTTAGCACATGGATTAGATTCATGTTACAGGCATGTTTGCCTTAAATCATACTCCCTCCGTCTCATTTTATATGTCACATTTTTACTTTGCACTTGCATTAAGAAATGATGTAACTTTACCCTTCTACCCTTATTTAATATTTTCTTAAGTCAACTTTATTAATAAATGACAAGATTAATTAACTATTCTATCAAGGATATAATAGGTAAAATATGGTAATTTATGCATAAATTTTATAAAATGATAAGTATTGTGGTCCAACTATTTAGAGAAAGAAATGACATATAAAATGAGACGGAAGGAGTAATTTTATTCTCACAGGAGTAACAAAGAATTGTCCTAAGAACTAGCAAGGCAGCCCAGGAGTAATCTTAACTCAATCTCAAAAACTAACATAAATCACGACTCAAGATAATATAAGAAGATCACTCATCCTACATATAATTTTGTCCAAAATAATTTCCCCTTCACACATTCCTAATATTCATTATAATTATATTGTCAACCTTAAGAAAAAAATTAAGGACATTTTAATCAAAAGTCCTCATAATTTTTGGAAGTGAATTTCTTAATTTATACGCCAAAGCCTAAAACATCAATAATTTTAGGCCGGAGAAATTAGTATTCTCAATGTCGGACCTAGTTACTACACCTTCCATTTCCACTTATTTGTCCACACAACATTTTACACACCCATTAAGAAAATATATATTAATAATTGGAAAAAATAATTAATTTTCCCCTATTATAAAATGACAAGTGTTTGAGAACAACCATTTTTAGTATACTTAATAACTAATGGGAACGGATTTCTAATATTCCTAAGGGACAACTTTAGTCATTTAAATATGATCTGGATGGAGTGGAGAAAAAAAATCTATGAAGGAACAACACTTCAGGCAGTTCTTGTCACAGAACATTGTGGTTTGGGAGAAAACATGAATTTCTTGAGGGTAAATTAAAATATATTATTTTTGTTGGTATAACTCTAGGAGCACATTTTGGAATTTAGTTATTATTATATTCTTTACTTTTTATTTTACCTCCTCCCATTGAGTTTGAGTGATGAAGGAATTAAAGACTGTCCTACATGATAAAAATTTAGCAATAAATTTTATTTGATCTTCTTGCGGTGATGCTAGAATTTAGAATTAAGAGTTTGGAGTTCTAAAAGAGAGGATGGTTCGGATTAAGGCGGGTTCGAACTCACAGCTCTAGCGTTTTACGATCACTTCTTTACCACTCGGGTTCACAAGTTAATAGTTTATTTAATTTTCTAGTAAAAATATAGGATCAACGGAAAAGCTAGTGGTTCGTCCGAACCCACGAACCCACCTAGCTCCACCGATCTTCTTTAATTTTGTGTATGGTTTGACTATGATGACGAAAGAAAACAAAAATGTAGAAACAAATATTACACCTAATGAAGAATTACAATACGGAAATTTCGAATGAAGTAAAAATGGTACTTTATGATACATACATAACTACTATTACTAGCTACTACTTGTTATGTGAGCATCCTCACATAACTCAATTAATTATGACTTCTTAGGACAAGCGTGACATTCTTTCAAGTTTTTTTTTTTTTTTTTTTAAAAAAAAGGTCTTTGAGTTATGTTTGATTCACCCTTAGTCAGCGTCTCGTGTTCGAGTTTTGAATATGACAAAAAATCCTAGTGAGAGGAGCGCCACCTCATATGGACCCAATCAGGCTCAATGATAAGCTTGGAACACCAGGTGGAAACTAAAATAAACACACTCACATAACTACCTTTACATAATGTAGGATATATTTTTTTACTTTAATAAGTGCAGTCTTTGTAGAAATTGCCTAGGAGATAAACATCATCTTAAAAACAAACCAAAACTCTGTTGGTTCTCCAAGCTTATCTGATTGTTGAGAAAGGCTACAAATTTTACAACTTCCTTAGAAAGTGCTAAGCTTGGGTCATCAACCTCCCAGTGACCATTCGAACATGCTTCGCAACATCCTTTAGTGTCATGCAGAAACTTTCATCCATCTGCGCGCATCGAATTTAAAATAGATTATGTACATACTAGTGTAACAACATACTATCAATGTTCTTATTTTCGAAGTTAGTAATTGCTAACCCCACTTTTTTAGGGATGGTAACCTAAAAATTTACTACTATATTGTGAAGGTATAAAAGTTATAACATATTCACAGATGATTTAACAAAATATATACTTTGAAGTAGTTTACCTGAGCTACTAGTGTGATATCAATTGCTTGTTTCCCAAATGGCATCATACAGCTTTGAAGAATGGTAAGATGAAGCTTCTCTATTTCGTTATGGATATTCAGCACAAAGGCGTTGCTCCGCGCACACGTAATTCTGATCAATACATTATTATCTGAATATCTTACTTCAATATCTACCCGTAAATCGCTGCCAATATTATTATTGTTTTCTTCAGATGAAGAGTACTCTTCTATTTCCAGCTTAGATTTATTCACAAACATAACTGAATTCTGCTGGGACGGTCCACTCTTTTTCTCTTCTTCCAATAGTTGCACTTTTTCTTTAAGCTCTTTCACATGTTTGATTGCTTGCTCAAGAATTGAAGCTTTGTCCACCTACCAATATTATTCACAAATTAAACAAATGCTAAAACCTTTAACCAAACAGAGTATAAATTTAATCTCAATCTTAATCCTAATTATCTAGCCTTATTCCTTCCAACTTGATAGTATTATTTTATCCCACCTACTAATTGGGATAAATTAGTAATCCTAAGGGTAGAAAAATGTGTTGAGCTATCCATGTGTATAACGAAAATCCAATATAAAATAAAGAACTAAAGTTATATAAATGTAAACTTTTTTTTTTTTTTAGTTTAATAGAGTAATTTATCATTTTCATCAAGTTACCAAAACCATTATAAAGATTTACACGTAATAATTAACTTATAAGTGATCTGAATAGGTAAATATTTTACTGCATTAGTGCACAGCACTATCCAAAAAAAAATAATTAAGTAGTACTATCTCATCCACTTTTAATTGTCATGTTGTGTTTTTCGAAAGTTAATTTGACTAATTTTGAAAGTTAAATTAGATTGCATTAATTCAATATTTTAAACAAAAAATCTAGATATTCAAAAATTGTACGAAAAGTACCATATATGGCAATTTTTTGCATATCAATACAATGAAAATACGTCGTAAAATGTTAGTAGTAAAAGTTCTTATAGTTTGACTCTAAAAAAAAGAAACCAGAACTAATAAAAGTGGACGGAGGGATTAGTAATTTGTATCATGTATGTAAAATTGAAGTTGATGAGAAAAGAGATTACCTTTTTTAGGCTTGGAAGAATTGCTGAAAGTGCGACAAACCTCTGGCTAAGTTTCTCTCTGCGCTTCCTCTCAGCAATAATATGATGTTGTAATTCTACTGAAGGAATTCTTTTCCCCCCTTCTTTATCCTTCACATCGTAACAACCGTTCGATTTCACATATGGAAAAAACATCTGATCTGATGAATCACACAAATACATCTCATCCACAGCTTCTATTTTACATCCTTGATGACTAGGAAATACTGAATCCATATTATTATTAAAAGAAAGAAAACGATGTGAAGATGAAGAGATCTTATTCAATTTGGGCTGATGATCATCATCAATTGCAGGTCTCTTTGAACCAATTGGGAAATTTTCCATAGGGGTGATTTTCGATTTACTTTTGCTAATTTCTTGATGAAAATAAGAACGTGAATTAGCACGAGTACTATCTGGAGTAATAGACAGTTCACTAGTCTCTTGATCTTCAGAGATTGTGGATTTTTGAGTGGTGAAATCATCGATGGAAGTGTTTTTATTCGAGTTGAACACACCTTCTTCCTGCAAATTAAATCGTATAACAAATTAAGATATTATTTCGTATAATATATGATCCTAAGATTTAATATGTTTGTACATACCGTTCTTGAAAACCATTGACTTAGCGATGAATTGTCCATCAATAGGTGCAGTTGATGATAATTTGGTACTTGCTATAATGTGTCGTGATACTAGTGTATTGTATTTGCATTATATTGGGCGTAGGAGAAGATCGAATCTTTGATTGACAAAAAGTTATAGGGTTACTTGTCTTCAACCAAACTGAAAAGGTAGTTAATACTTTTATATTGAATATTTTATATGCCACGAGTGAAATGTTCATCATTTTTTTTAAAGTTAAAAATCATCATTTCAGTTCTGATTTAGCACCACGTAAGCCCGTCAAGTTTTCCTAATTATTGTGCTATAAACTAAAGCAAAATTGATTTTGGAAGATATGACAAATCCTTGAAAACTTAATTGATAGTACTATTTTTCTATTTTTTTAATCTTGAACAGACAGTGGCTTAATGATTAAAGTTTTAGCCATCCTTATACATCAACGAATTTTTAATTATCGTGGGATAGTAAAATAATGCTGTAGATTCCTTGAAATTATTTAGGTCCATACTCCATAGTCCACACGGGCCACATGCCGACTATAATATAGATTAGTCGTACCCATCGAGAAAATTATGTGACCAGTTTTCACCAACTGAGAGTGATATAAGTTAAAACATTGTAGTAAATAAAATACTAAAAGGTAGGGAAATGAATAGTAATTTGAGTGAAAAAATAAAATAAAAAGTGCATCAGAGAATGAGTACCAAACTATTAACCAGTACAAGTGGAATTTATTTGAATATTTCAAATATGGAAAAGGAACTCTATATATACTTAGAAAATGTAAAATGTGAAAAACGAATTCTAACAAAGTGGAGATCGGCCAACCATTAAAGAGAGAGCCAGCAGTTAATCCTCTTTTTGAACCAGTAGACATGTCTATAACTATAAAATCGATCTTAAACTAAAGATAAAAATTATATAACATGTCCAACTATAATTTCGGGTAAAAAGTAGAGAATGCCCATAAACTGGATGTACCATCAAGTTGTTATCATTAAACTGCAAATCTCAGACTCAACTGAACCTAAACCACATTAGTGTTGGATACAGAACATCACTTACCCCTCCTTACCAAGATTGAGGAAGAAGAAGGATCACCAAACAAGTCTATAACAAATGCACAATTTACAAACAACAAGCACAGGTACATGATTTTAACTAAAAGATAATGAAGGATTTTAAGTTTTAACAACTAGAAATATTCTCCACATTATTAGAAAATCAGAATCCCAGAGACAAACAGCATCAAACATAATCCTAAAATAGCAATCCTGGCAACGTAGCACCTCAGTCATCGTATGCTATTGCATTTCTACTGATCGACAAAAGCACATCTGATACGAGATGCAGACTGTCAACGCCAAATGGAAGTACTTTCATTTAGTTTTAAGCAAATTCCTGAAATACAATAACTAAGACAAAAGCTGAAAGAACCTCAAAATGACAACTGTCATAATCTACAAGATACAGCCGAAAAGATGCAGCAATTCTGCTACATCACCTAATTGAACTGCACAAATGTTTTGGAATAAATAAAAGAATGCTTAGTCTCCCCCCTGAGTCCATACCTTCACAGTCTTGTCATTCCCAAGAGAACCAGAAGCAATCATGTTCTGAGTGGGGTTGCATGATACAGAAATCACAGTATCAGTATGGCCTTCCAATTTTTGAACTATCTTCCTTGATTGGAGTTCCCATAAATATACACAATTATCCTCAGAACCACTAACGATATACTTCCCATTTGTTATGGAAAATGTTGATGAAATGCAGTACTTTGAGTTGACATGGTCCGTGTAAGTTTTCAGAACTTTTCCTGTCGAGAAGTTCCAAAGCCTCTGCAAAACAAGGAAAAGAAAAGCATACAAAGGTCATTGAGCACGTTAACTAGCAGTCTCCATCACTAAACACGTTAAATAACAGTCTCCGTTTCATCTTTGAAAACAAGTTGTCAAGTAGCAGTTTCTAGACAATGAAAGTTTGCAGAGGGCATTAATCTAGACAAAGACATATACTGACAGTCTGACACATTCCCGAACCAATTGAACTTGTAAAACACTACACCTACTTCATTGTGAAATCTAAGCAATACTAAAATGTACAATCAGCTTAGTAAGAAAACAGCATTACTATTAGGAAACCGCATGGAATACATCTGCCAAAACGTAATGGTTCATTACTACAGGAAACTGGACATTGAAAAGAAATGGATGATGGACTTTTCTTCTTTTTTTTTGAGTGGGAGAGAGGAAACTATTTTAAGACTAAAGAGACTGACAATCCTTAAAGCACCGTGACAATTTTTTGCACAACAAATTCACTGTTGGTAGCAGTTAAATTTCTGAAGGTGCACGTGACCAACAGAAAAGACCACAAGTTGTATATAAATCAAAAGAGCATGTCCTAAGGGCCAAAGTATATATCTTCTGCAGATTGACAAAAACTTGAGATGGATTCACATATCAGAGGTCATAGAGAAATTAGAATCAAACAAAGCTTGACTACATGACTCCAACCCACATTTCCAAGATGACTAGAAAAGCAGGGTGAAACTGAAAAGCTCATCTGATGTTTTCTTTCACTAAAAAAATAGATAAGTTTTTAGGCTATTACCGTGCACAACAAAAAGAAACTCTATCGAGATATATAGTTCAGGGGATCGACAAGAAAAGGAACCCAACTTAAAGGACAACGCTCTCTGCAAAGAACTACACTGAACATAGAACAAAAATAAGAATGTGCATCAAGTTCATCATTGCCTTACTTTGTGTCTTCTTGACTTGGCTCGTCGGTTAATTTTTTATCCATATCAATATATATATATATATATACATTCTTCAAAAATATCCCTAAAAGCACAAATGTTAATACGCTAAATGTTGATCAACAAAAGTATCCCTAAAATGATGCTAAAACTTTAATGCCCTTTAAAAAATAAAATATTTCATCAAAATATGATACCACATGTGGATAAAACTGTAACATTGAAAGCTTTCCCAAATTAATATTTTAACTTATATGGGATTCTAATCTGAATCAGGTTTCCTCATTGTTAAGTTCCATAGCCATACAAATTTCACAGGGATCATAACACATAATTTCAACCACCTCTTACTACCTACTTAAAGGGATACCTAAACTTAATAATTGCAGACTTGCAACACACACGAAGTATCTTCTCATTGATTGTGCTTGGGTAACGAGGGCCAAGGTTTTGTTGGAGTTTTGAGTATAGGTATTTTTGTTTCTTAGTTACATATAATAATGATCGTATGGTGGTTTTAGCACTAATTTATTGGGTTTTGGGTAAGCACGTAATGTTGGATGCTTGATTCAATTTTAATATCTTTTATTAATGTATAGGTATTCTATCAACTATTGTTGCATGCACAAAATTTCAGCTTGAGTGTTTTGGAAAACTAGAAGCTGAAAAAAGGGCTCACTCCACCGAATCGAGAAGCGAAGCACACACTTTTTTCAATGAAAGCATAGTTTAATATAATAATAAAAAATATTGTGCAAAGAAATCACCAAGAACTCAATAGAAACAACATATTAAGCAAATCTTTCAATTTTTAAACTAAAAAGTAAATAATAGAGTACTAGAATAAAAAAGATACAGATTCTCACTACAATCACAAACAACAAAATAAACTAAATATTTGTAAGCTACAGCAAACAAGAAACTATTTTTAGCTTTTCCTGTTTGTTGCAGTTTGCAAATATTCATTTATTATTTTGTTTGTGATTGTAGTAAAAATCTATAGCTTTTTTTTTCTAATTCTAGTATCTATTATTTACTAATCAAAAAATTGAAAGACTTGTTTCATATCTTGGTTACTAAACTATGCAAATTTAATATTTTTTATTATTGTATTAAACTGCGCTTCAATTGAAAAAAAGTGTGCGCTTCGCTTCTCGCTTCGGTGAAGCAAACCCTAGTCAATTTTTCGAGCTTCTCGCTTTCCAAACACTAAGGGGGGAGAGAGAGAACAATCAAATTTACGCTTAAATTGATGCAATATTTATTCGTAGAACCTCTTCTCTCTCATATTCCACATTGATACTAATTGATATGGTTCAACTAAATCAACTGCCTATAAAAGACCTTATGTCCAAAGCTGGATTACTTTATATCTTACCTTAGGGAATATAGGTTATAACTTTATAGTCATGCATTACTCTTACTTGAGGATATGCCTGTAAAAAACAAGCGACTAGAATACATACTTTGGATTGTATGAATTGTATATTGTAAAGGGCATAAATGACGAATTTAATAAATTCATAATTACAACACCAGTTTCCCTAAAGTAGAATTGATTGATCTTTAAAGCATGCTTTTAATATGATGTTCAATCATTTTGAACTACTATGTATTATGATACTTCAATAATATTGATTTTTAAAGATTATTGTATTTTTATCATGCCAATTACTTTACAATGAGTTTTCCTTCTTGTATAATTGTTTTAACAAATTTAACTTTAGTTCTTTCATATAAATAATCAACCGAAAATCTAAGTGTGAGGCACATACATAGAAACTAGTTGATATAACATAAGTCATACAAACAGATCAGATGATACAGACTAACATGCTTGCAGAAAATGAAAAAGTAAAGAATGGCCATTTAAAGCAGTTTTTCTTTTCGTTTTATAAATGCATTTGCAGCCTTTTCCACTCTAAAGAAACTGATTGCTGTTTTCTGCTAGGTGAATATAAGATCATTATTCAATGAGAGAGAAAAGAAGAGGCCTCCTGGATGCAAAAATTCACTATTCTGCTAAGGTTTTGATGTCGGATATTGGTTACACACCAAGCCATTTCCCAAAAAGAAATCATACACTAGATCCCACAAGTTTGATATGAGCAGGGCATCCCTTATTCCTTCTTTTACTAAAATATAAAGGGGAAAAGAAAAAAGAACCAGAAACATAAATAAAGCTCTTGAATATACATGGATCATGGATGCAGATACTGATATTACAAAATGTAGAACTCTTTGATACTCCAGGATATATCTTGGGGCTTAGGTTACAAATTTTGATGGGGAAGAGCCAAAAGCATGAGGAGGAAACTTTAGAATTGAACAATTAATAAAGAGTCCTCCAACTAAACTCCCTTTTGGAGAAAACTAGAAT